ACAAGAAAATGCAGTATCATTTTTATACTTTTTTAATATAATATTTAGCCGGTGCTTTAAATACTCAAAAAGTTATATAATTTTTAGAAATTAAGCATCAGCAAGCACGGACTCAATGGGAGAGTCTGAGGAGCCTCAAGGCACCTGAGTGTGTAGAGTCGCTATCATACGAAAAGAGTGATTGGACCAAGATTTCAAGATGGATTGAATGGGCAATAGACAGATTGTAAGTTATAATAATTAGCACCGGATTAAATCTATTAACTTTTTAAGTTACTGCTAGTGTTCCGCACGGACCAGATCGGACGGATATTTCTAAAGATTCGGATTCGATCCGAAAAACCGAATCGGATCCAAGCTTGGATCCGGATCCGTTTCAATTTCAGATTCTTTCAGATAGCCTTACTTTTATGTTCGGAATGTTTCGGAACATTAAAATTTATAGTTACCTGAACAGATCCCAATGTGGATCCGTGCCTGACGAATCTGAAAATTATGGATCAGGTGAACGGATCTGAATTGAATCCGAATCTTCGGATCCATTTTGCGGAACACTAGTTACTGCAATCATTGATATGTGTCATATGATTACATTATTCGGCAAAATTTATGAATGTAACATGACACAAATTAGAAACTTTACTGAGATGTCATCTATTAATAGATTTAATTAATTAGCGCCTATCCTTTTATATTCTGTTTTTATGAAGCCTTATAAATAAATTCTTTTTATTGTATACAGTCTGGATGCGTTTGAGTCTGAACGTAATCCTTTAACACAGCAAGACTGCCACAAGAGGAAGTGGCTGGGCAGATATCTTGTTACAATCTTTCAAGGCGCATTGGCTCTTGATAGTTATTTTCGAGTCCCATGGTTTGTAATAAACATGCATTGTAATTTTTTTGCAATTATCTAATTAATAAATTTTAATAATTTCATATAATAGGGTGAAGTAACTGTTCAAGTCTCACTGCAAAGACGTAATTTAGAAAAAAAAATTTTAGAGGAAAAAGTTGATTGTGGGCATATTGCTGATTTGTTGTGCTACACAGACTCATACGAGAAGTTATGTTTGCTAGCCTGTGATGGCCCTCATAAGAATGATATTACAAAAATGGCTTCAGACCAATTCCATCTATCACGATTATTGAAAGATTGCCTTGATGATATGACAGTTAAATACTTCAATAGAGTAAATAATGATGAAACGTGTTTGTACACCATAGGCATCCAGGTGAGTAAATTTAATATAGTAAATTTGGTAATAAAAATAATATTTGACATACATTATTTCAATTAGCAATACAAGCTAGAAATTCGAATATACCTCATTGAAAAACGTGAAGTCTATCGCCTTCACCTTATAAAAATGCTAGATTTTCCAATAACATTTTCAATGTATTACACTTTATGCACTTGCTTAAGCTGGGTGTGGAATCTTCGGGTTTGTATACAATGTGACAATGTGACTATGTTACTTACAATCTACATCAATGGACTAATGATTTTAATGATTTATTGTTAGGGTATATTAAACAATTTATTAGGAAATCTCATTAATAATGTAGAGGTTATATCTTTAACACCGCAGTATGTCCCAAACAATATGACCACACAAGTGACACCTGAAAGAAAACCAAAAGAAAAGATCTGTAAGCCAACTGGCTGTAAAAAGTAGTACACACATAGTTCCATTGATCAAATTATTCATAATATAATTTTAAATAAAAATAATTTGATTGTTTACTATATATTATAGAATTAACTGTGTTTGGGTTTTGAGAATTATAATACCAATTTTGTTACAGTAATTTTAATTTGGTTAGATTTTATATGTAATTTACGTTCTTTTTTAAATTTTTTAATGAATTTGGGCTCAAAGAATTTCAATAGTTTTTTAAACTCAAGATTCCCAATCATTTTGTTATTTAAAAAGCTATTATATTCGCTGAAATATAAATTATATAAACTAGTAGCAGAATAATAGTATACTAGTCATGGTGAAAAACCCTTAAGCTCACCCACAAAATATTTTCCCTGTGTCATATAAGTAGAGATGGGCACGCGCGGGATTTTTAATGATCCCAAAATAAAATTATCTGGCCGGCATTACGATATCATCTGACTGCATTAACATAATATCTGGCCTGCATTGACATAATTAGTAATTGAGCCAGCCAAAAAAGTTTCGAAAATCATGTAATATTGTCAATACGTAATAATATTTATAAAATATTAATTGATTTAGTAAGTGATTTATTTTCTTTGATTCTTCAAAGAAAAGAAAAGCGATCGTTGCAATCTGACAAACTGTGATTCTTTTAAAGGCATAAAATTCAATAAACAAAATTATTCTAAAAATATACATCGATTGCTGCAACCCAATTTCCACTAAAAAAAAACGAAAAAATAAAGAATGAAAATCGAATAAAATTATAAAAACTAATAAAGAAAATGTAATTGCACCAGAAAACCTTGTAGACTTTATTTTAATGCTCTTCCGGAAGACTATAACTCTGATTATTTCTTTGAACAAAAAGTTTTTATAATTCTGAATCCAGAAAAATTATTGAAAAAAATATAATGAACCCAATAGTAGCAAATAGCTCGATAGTATTAATAAAAACTTTGAGCCATTGCATAAATTGGAGGAGGATTATAATCATTTTAAAAGACAATGGAATATTCCAAATGCTTAGAAAAACCGTAATCATAATACTTTCTGACTGTAATAAATATTACGTTTATTGTTTATCATTTGTTAGTAGTTTTTTGTTCATGTTACATTAATTTTTGGTGTTCTACATATTTGTCGGGTGGCGATTTTACCCAGTCGACATGTATCAATATGTATAGAATTTATTTGTATATTGTTTCACATATATACAGTATAACAACATATTATTATTTCTCAATCAGATGACTTTATTTGGACGAAGAAAAAACATATGGGGATAAAAAGAGGATCGTTTTAACAAATCTAATTTTCCCAAAGACCTATGCTTGGCTACTTCTACATACTCAAGTGAGTACTTATAAATATCTTCAAAATACACTTCATCGGCATGATCACTTCATCATCTCATATTTCAAATCCTATGTTTATCTATGGGACCTTCTAATGAAAACGAATAATTCTTGTATTCATTTCGACTCAATTTTATCTTAATAACTACTTCCAGGGTTGTATATTTTTGCACACTTCGATCCTACTTTCTGAATCGTCAAGCGCACATTCGCATTCTAACAGTTCATATGATTCTCCACCAGACTTCAACTACTGGCAAGCTTCTCACAAGCATATGCACTGATATTGCAGCTGCTGCGCCAAAAATAAGAAGTCCTTGCACTACCAAAATACTTGAAATGCCAATACAGCCACAAAGCCAAAACAAAAGGCATTGCATTGTTATTACAGCTGCTAAGCCTAAACAGAAGATTCTCAAACTGCTGCTACAGACATGGAGCCAGAAACAAGGGGTCCTTGCACTGCTTTTGCAGCCACAGAACCAAACCAAACCATTCTTGAACTGTTACTACAGCCGCGAAGCCAAAAATAAAAAATCTTGAAAACTGTTGCTGTTGCTTTGAAAAACAAAACAGGAGATTTCTTGCACTTCCTCTGCAACAAAAGGCCTCTAAAGACTGCAACTGCAAGTTGAAAACAAAAGGCCCTTGCATTGCCACTGCGAAGCCAAAACAAAGGGTCCTTGAACTATCACTACACCCTGGAGCTGAAAGAAGATTCCTGAACTGCTGCTGCTGCCGTGGAGTTGACATGGGTTTCTGCACTACCCTTACAGCCACAGAATCAAAACAACTGCCCTTGAACTGCCGCTTCAGCTGCGAAACCAAAACCAGAAGTTTTTTGCTCTACCAACCATAGCACAAAGCCAAAAATAAAGAGACCTTGAATTGCCAATGCAGCCATAAAGCCAAAAAAAAAGAAATTCTTTGAGCTGCTGCGGCATCTTCGGAGCAAAAACAAAGGTCCTTGTAATCCCAATGTAGCCTCGAAGCTTATTTATCATTTAGCCATTTAACTAGAGATGGACATTCTTCTGTCTAGAGATGAGAAAGATTGGATATGAATCTTACTTCTTGAACACCATGATCGCATAATATCGCATGCTGCATTATTTAATGCAGAGCCAAAAAAAATATGCATTCGCACATCTCTACGTTTAACATCATTTTATTTAACCAAAAATTTATTAATTTTAGATATAGTGCTTTCAACAAATAAATCTAGGTGAATACGATAGAGCCAGCCTTCACTACAAGGCGAGCGATAGCGAAAAGAAAGATACCTTTTCCTACTAACTAAAAGCCCTTAAATAGCCTTGACAATATAATAGTAACTCATATTTTCAGAAATCATATGTTATCACAATATTAATCAGAAAATACTTGCATCAAATAAGATACAGTAAGGACTATTACACAAAAACTTGTAAACATCAAAGGACAAATTGATCATATGATTCGATAAAGTCATCTGATTTCGCAAAAATGATCGCCCTGTCACTTCGTTGACAGGCTTTTCACCTAATATATTTTTATATAGATACGTGAATTTCTATGTAGAATTTATTTATTTATTTGCATACCGTTTCGCATATGTGTAAATATATATTTAATAAGAATTTACCTTTTACCTTTT